ATCAGACTATGATGGAGGAAGTAAACCTAAACTGACTTTTAAACACATTAGCCTTCTGCAAGCACTCTCAAATCAACCCAGATGTGAAGTGGAATTTCTGTGAGACAGTAAATCACAGTTGTGTCTTTTAAATCAAACAGTCTATCAGAGGCAAAGCTTTGAAGAGGCTCACATTTTTTCAGGAAAAAAAAAAAAGTGAAATAGTGCTCTTGCTTTGTAGAGGAAAGAAACACTACCACTGTAGTAAGTGAAAGAACAACATTTGTGTAGGACCTCAGCTTACAAACATTTATGTCTCCTTGGAAAACAAAAAGAAAGATTTGCTATATCATTCAGACATTGATGATAAAAAGGTAAAAAAGTCTATGCAGTGTAAAAACCCAACATTTCAAAAATATTATTTTTAAACTGGGGTTTATAAAACCACCACGAAGATCCAGTTTGGCAAAACACTGGAACAGGTTGCCCAGAAAGGTGGTAGATGCTGCATCCCTGGAAACATTCAAGGCCAGGTTGTATGGGGCTCTGAGCAACCTCATCAAGTTGAAGATGTCCCCGCTTGTTGCAGGGGGGTTGGATTAGATGACCTTTAAAGGTCCCTTCCAACCCAAACCATTCTATGATTCTATAATCATTTCTACATTGACGGGAACAAAACAAAAATAAGGAACTTAAAAGATCCACCCTCCCACCCCCTCCCAATTCTGTAGTCTTATTTGCAGGGAAATTTATGGCAATGCCTTTCTTTGCTGTTTTTGTAGTAAGTCTAAAAGGCTAGCTGACAAAGAACCAAGAACACTTGATATTTATGGGCTGTACTTCTATTAAGAACCTATAAGATCTTTTCCAGTAAGATTATGACAGTTGTGAAGATACCATAGGATTCTGAAATAACTTAGGGGAGCTAACTAATAATGCATAAAAATCAATACTGGAGTGGATTAGCATCATGGTACCTTGACATTTTGGTGCTAAAAGTGAAACGTGAAAAGCAGCTAACTATGCATAGATAAGACTTGACAGTATAGAACCTCATACCATTTAGGTCTATACAGTTATCTTTTTTTGCACTAGCTGAAACAAGGAGAAAATAAGTAGATTAAGTGGAAGAAACAGCACTTGTGGACCCAATGGCTTTTGTTCCTTCAGACTTTTATACCATATACTAGCTAAAAATCCCAAGATTTAGCATCTGAGATATTTGATAGCTGACAAATCTGATGTCACATTTATTTAAGAAAATACTGTGACAATTCATACCACATTCTGAAAGAAAAATTGTTCAAGGAAGAAGACAAGGATCATAATGTGAGATTGCTCTATTATATCACTGACTTCCCAGAGCTTCTACAACTCCAGCTGCATCATAACCATGCAAACATGACTGATTCCTGTCTACATCCTGTTCCATAAGAGTTCACTTATAAATTATGATAATCTGAAACTACTGTGTATACTACCAGAATTCCACCTTAAAGTACCTACTTCAATGCTTCAAATGAATACACTTAGCAAAATTATCCACTTCTAATCATAAGAACTCCAAGAAGAGACCTTCAGAGATTGGTAGCTCATGAAAACAATTTCCTGTAACTCAGAAGATGATGCATGCTTCTTATTCATTGCACAGCAGCTTATGGGCAAACACAGTGGAACAAAACGTATTTCCTTACATTTCTCTTCTGGTCTTATGAAAAATGTGTTATGGCTATGCTCTTTTTTTTGGTACTTACTTAATAATAAACTCTCTTAAAAAGAAACTCCACTGGGTTGTTAGCCGATAGAATACAGTCATGTTCCTAAAATCTGTTCCACAAACATTTTAATTAATGACATCTAATATGATGTCATAGCTTTTTATTATTACCCTTACCTTTCTGTTAAATAATGCTCTATCTGCCTCAAAGAACACTAGTTATAATCCTTCTAAACAACATGAGTCTATCTTTGGACTTGCATCAAAAGATTGGGAGTGGTCTACTTTCAAGACATGGGACTTAGTTTAACTTTTACTACAAAAACACCCTTTCCCACTGAAAACAGTTTATGCACACTGGAAAAAACATGTCTTTTGTGGAGTTAAAAAAATTCAATGGTCCCAAACAAAGCAAAAGCTGTATCCTAGAAGACAGGCTCTGAAGACACTGAAGGAGAAAATTCCCTTCTATTTGTGTTCTCCTGGGGTACAAACAATCTGGTCTTGTCAGGCACAGGTGTGCCAAAGTGAAAAAAGTAAGCAAAATGGCACAAACACAAATGCATGAAAGCAAGAAAAAAAAATTTTAGAATACTGGCAACCCCTTAATGTTTTAGATATAGCAACTCCTATTTTAGGAGAAAAATACTATGAGAAAAGAGAGTGATCATCATAGATATTGAAGAGCCTTTGCATAATGGCTGAGTTTTTATGCAAGATTAAGGGAAGAGTCTTATCAGTTCAACTTTACTACAGTTACATTACTTTAAATGTTGACATGCTTTTTCTAAAGAAAAGCTGACCTTTTCTGGTTGAAAAGATAACCTACTCCAACTAAGCAACATAAAATAAAGATAGATAAAAGACTTCTGTTCTTGAACACCAGGGTCATCTACACAGGGATTTACACTAGTACTGAGTATATTCTGCTAAGATATTGTGGTAATAGACATTACCTAGACACAGAAAGATGAATAAGTATTGCAGTTTCTGTAAGTATAAGGCAGTGTGTGTTTTCAGTATTGTAAAAATTTTAAGGTGTACTAAGCACTGAAATGGGCTAGAAGCACAGGGTGTTTTAGGGTCAATAAGAGAACCTTAATGCCATAATAGCTCATATTTAACAGAATTTCTTTTTTGATGTGCTAACCACCAAATACAGGAATTGCCATGCTGAAAGAGAAGGAATTGACTATGTTAAGCTGAATCAATGTTTTTCACTAAAAATTAGAAAAAGAATGTGAAAGTGAACAGGTTGGTTATTATACTGCTCAAAGAGAGTTTTTATTTCATTCAGGAGGCAATTGAGAAACAAGTAACTCCTGAAATTTATTATTATTATTATTACAAAACAAAAATGATCCATAGGGCATATGGATAACTTATTTAAACAAGTATGTAGATAAACAATTTTTTACAATAAATTTATAGCCCAGTTCAAATAGACAGTATTGTTAACTTTCATATAACACATATGGGGTGATATTGTAAAGTTGAAGAAATAAAATCTTGCAAGTGCTGTGTAGGGGACTGCCTAGTAATATGCCTTCATGTAGGACTCTGGAAGGGAAAAGATTTGCCAGATAACAGATAAAGTTTCTGGACTAAAGACTGGAAGGGAAGGTGAGAAGAAAGACATAAGGAGTCTGTTAAGGAGAAAGCTTGAAACAAGTAGTAGAACTGAGACTTTATATGGTATATAAATAAAGTGGAATTACTCTGCGTATCCCTGAAAGCGAGAGGAATTTGCAGCTCAAAGTCACAGCTGCTAACAGAAAGGTTACACATTGGAAATGACAGTTGAGAGAGAGGAAAAAAATATGAAGGCAGACTGATATGGCAAAAGTTGAGAAGGATGAGGCAAAAGATACAGATAAATATTATACGGACGAGGCTTAAGAAAGAAGCTTCTGTAAGTACTGCAAACAGAACCAGAAAGGAATGAAAACATTTTTACATAGAAAACAAAAGACCAGGAGGTTGAGCACACGAACGATAAGTGGGAATGGAGAACAGTGAATGGCAACAGGAAAGGAAGGACATAACAAATTTGGGGGAAAATGCAGAATTTTTTTTCCAAGTTGAACTTGAGGTTTCTTGTGAGACAGCTAGTTGTCTGAAAGAAAGCACACAGTATCTGACTACCTCCAGAAGAGTAGCTGAAACAAAAGAAATGGATAAAGTTGCTCAGTGAGAATATAAAGACGAAAAATGACAGAATTGTAAACAAGAGTGTAGGAACTATCACTAAAAAAAGCAGTGGCTGAGGTACAAAAAATTTGAGAAACACAGGAAAAGTAAAGGAAGGAGTGACCTTTCCATTAAGGAAACAACAGCAGCTTAACTGAATGGCTATTTTCTTTGAAAAGATGTATCTAGGTCTCTAGGTAATAAGACACCTGGATATTTCCAGGGTATTAGCGATATCTGGAAGAGAATGGAAGTTGTTGGTATGCTTATACTGGATTTGCTTTTTATTTTAAAGAGCATATAAAAGCCAAATTGACACAGACCTTTAAGTAATTAGATTTTGAAGAAACACGGTACTGAGAGGAAGTTACTCATTTTAAAGAAAAAAAAAATTAAACAAAATCTTTTGGTGTGGTCTCCTACTCTGGCAATGAAAACATCAGAAAATTGATTGGGTCTTCACCTGTGCGGGCTGATTAGAGCATAACCCTATTGTCTGGAACAATATGGAAGGCAGCTAGAGGAAGTAAAATCCACAGAAAACAAAACACACTCAGTCAAAAAATATACATATGTATCAAGATATTGATGTCTTATGCAATAATTACAATGAAATATTAAAACACAGAAAAGAGCCACATGTGAAAACCAGTAAGATTTTGCTATTAAACAGCATAGCGTTCTGACAGAAATTGCCTAAGAAACATAGGGGAGCACTGAGGATGCTGTAGTAAGTCTTTACTCAATTGCTTTGACATACATTTCAGACCTGATAGCATTTTTATTTGATTTGCTTTGTCAAGCATGGAAGAATTATGCCAAAGATTGTATTAAAATGGAAAATTCTCTGCTTTTTTCAATTTTATTTTGATCAAACCAGCGTAAGCTCCTGTTGAATAACATTTAGAGGGATTTTGTACTCAGTATATGTATGCACAACAACGTTGCATTACATACTAGCAATTTTGTTAACATTATAAATGCACACAGTTAATCTAAGTCTTTAGTGAAAGATTATTTCTGAGCTCTTGTTTTGTAGGCCAGTCTGTGTTGGAAGAACAGAACTCTGCAGTACAACATGCATAATATATAACTTCGAAGGAAAATTTCTTACCTCCAGCAACTAGCCCAGACTCTCCTAACTGAATTGCTACCCCGAAGCCACCAAGCTTTACTGGGGCTGAATTCTCTTTTGAGGCAAGCAGTACACAGTGTGGCTAAAAAGACAAAAACCGAGACAAATTATAAGATTATTTGAGAAATACAATTTGCATTTTAGAACTTATTTTCATAAATTCGCAAACAGAAGCCAGAATCTTTGGGTTTTTTAGAAGGAATTTCTTAATTTCAGGTATTTTTTCCTGGCATGGACTCCTCCTCCTTCACTGGCTTCCCTTAAAATGTCCCAGGCACAGCTAGATCCTTTCAGTACTTAACAGATCTCAGAAGGAACACAAAGTGAAATCATAATAAAATGGAGATTAAAATTTAACACCTATAATTTCTTACTTGGTATTACTTTTTCTTTTTACCTTTCACACTTAAGCCTTACACTGCTTCAATTCTCCAGCAGAAACATCCTGTCTATGATACACTTTGTAGAATCTTATCCTTCACACAGGATTTTCAAAACACTATTTTGAGCCTTAATCACAGAATTCACTTTCCCACTGCAGAAAAGAAAAGGAACATCCCTGTGATGGTTCTAGAAAATATTCCACTGTGGGAGGAAATTGTTTAGGTTTCTAAACTGGATTCCAGGCACAGTCTTTCCACTAATAAGAGTGAGGTGCAATGCGTAAGAATGGAATAGTGTACAACAATTTGGATGGATACTGACTGGTTTAGGAGGAAGCGGCCTACAGACAAAGTCTTAGAACACGATTTAGTATTTAATGCACATAGCCAAAATACTGCATTTAATATAGAGTGACTTCCTGCATTTATTCAAAGCCTCCCTTTGCAGTCAACCATATTATTTAAAAGGAAGAATGTCAAATTTGTATACTACTTCTTGAGGATATGTGACTGCATAAATTACAAAAGTAGGAACTCAAAATAGCACAAAGGAGCTACAATAAGCTCAGTCTGATTACCTGTAAATCCATCATCTGTAACCACCCATGTTTTCTTTTAAAAAGTTTCAAGTGTATGAAAACAAGTACCTTCAAGTAAGAATGCATAGCCTGTTTACAATTTAACTGAAATCTGTAGAATCCCATAAAAGCTTGATTCCTGATCAGATGATCTATTAAGAAAGTTAACATGGAAATTCTCATTTCAAAGGAGAACCCTAAGCCAAGACAACATTCTTGATATGATCATTAAATTTAGGCTACCTTCTTTCAGGACTTGTAGAATCCACTTGAAAATCTGCAATTTTCAATCCCTTACATGCTACTTAAAATAGTATTACCAGGTAGTATTATCTTTGAATACTTTATTCCAATTCTGCCTTACTGAAATTGTTAAGCTGCACACCTTGGGCACTTTCACATTCTCTCATCACTCGCATTTTGAATGAAAAAGATCAACCTCAAATTTCTAACCCCAGGCCAGGAAGAAGTTAGGCAGGAGAACTACACCAACGTAAGCAAAATGTACCATTTCACCGTGGAGTTGATTTATCTTTACCCTACATTTGAAAAAGTGATACCATTTCCGTGACAGTATTAAAAAGAAGACAGGCTGTACCAACATAATTGTAATTTAAAAAGGAAGCCACTGACACTGCTCACCAGAAACAAAGGTCCTGAGGAAAATACCCAAATCTCCAATTCAGAGTGAAACTCAGAGAAAACTTTATTATAGAACCTCTCCCAGCAAAGCCCAAATTAACAGCAAAATTGATCTTTTCAGTAGACTGAGTTTTGCTAGTTAGAAGTATCTTTTAAAAAAACAGTTGCAACACCAGCTAAACTTCCCCTGGTTGCTAATTGTACTGTGTCAGCTGATTTCCATCACTTTCATAGAGAAGCTGGTGCTTTAGCTTTCTAATAAGAGGACTTGCACGTTACTCCTCCCCGTCTTTACCAGTGGTTTTGAAAATCAGCAGACATTCTCAACACATAAATGGTAAGTGGCTTCTTTTATATTTAAGCTATAGTAAAACAAATTTCTATTAAAATTTCTGTTAACTGCAAAGGTACTATAGACCTTTCTTAAATACACCTCTGTTCAAGCACGCCTGCTTGCTTACAGATGACAAAACTTATGATAGCAAAGTTATGTTTCTAATGTATCTGCAGCGTAATTAATTTTTCTCACTCTCATTGACCTAAAGCTTGTCACTATTTATGCAATTCATGATGTCAAGCATTTTTACAGAAAAGCCACATAAACAAGAAATTATAGTAGTAGATAGGTTTCAAGATGTATTTTAAAGCATGTTTTTTAAACGAACCTTTAAAATTACTTCTTGCCCTGACAATATGAAATGCCAAATATGAAAACAGCAATATTTTTAAAACTGCTAACATATTGTACGAAATTAAATGCAACTGTAAGATCAGCTAACGTAGGATGTTAAAATATTTCAGACTGTCCTCTCAATAATTCAGATTCTGTATGTACTAATGTACATACCAAGACCATATGGTCTTACCAAGAATTTTACCTAAAATGCTGCCATTTTCACTGCTGTATCTATATCACACATTTAAATGAAAATCTGCATTTTTAAGACCTACCATGCAAATTTTGTTGTTTTTTTTCTTGTTACTGTTGTTAGACAACTAAGTTCAGAGTACCAAACCCAATTCTGAAGTTTTTGTGAGAGTAGGGGAAAAAACCTTGCCCCTTTAAAAAAAATTCTAAATAAACTTATTTATGAAATCTTTTATCACTACAAGATAGAAATCGAGGACAAAAGTTGTATCTTTATTAATCAGTCTTAACGATGTCTCTAAGCCGCTCATCGTGATTCTGTTCTACCTAACCACACACTTTTTTTGGTTTCCTTCTTTGGTCAAAGCTGACTTTTATCTTCCAGATTGTACCATCCTGGTCAAAAATGAGCTTAGTGAAATTAAAAACTCTGAAATGAAATGAAGGAAAACAAGGAAGATGTGAAAACAACCTGTTAATGCATTAATGTGGTTTCCAGCTAATATTTGTTTCTTTGGATAATATTGATTTTTGAACAGTCAAGAAAAGGAAAGAATACTTAAATCTACATGAAGATATGAATTATTAAAATTGGTAAAAATAAAAAAGTTACTGTAACAGTACTGACTCACAGTGCTATTTATAATAGATTCTGCAGCCAAATAAGTATTAATTGAAAATTGCTTTTCTAATTGAAAATCAGTGACCTGCATGCAAGAGATCCTGGGTACTCATTTAAAATTAATACTGATGAGTTTAGAATTGTTTTGATACATTTCTATGTACTTTGTATCAACACTGAGACTACTTCACTTAGCTAATGCTTACCCTATTTTGCATCTTTATTAAAAAGTTTACTGTTTCGCAAAGACTAATTCTAACATCAAAACTTAAAAAAATTATTTCTACTTATAGATAAAATAAAAATTTAAAATTTCTAAAATTTGCAGCAAAACATAATAGTTGATTTTTAAAACAATACAAGGCAGTAATAAAGACAGAATTACAAAAATAGTTACCTATGGGAGTGTTCCGCACCACCTGTTCTTGCCTACTTCACGAGAAGAAAAACAGGGAACTGACTATTCTAGAATTACACTGTATCATGACATCTGGTTGAAAGTCCTTCTTCTACTCAGCTACCACTATACTTTGGTGCATTTGCTTTTTTAGTTATTGCCTTTTATGTTTATATCACATAAGACTGTATGCAATAAAGCAAGCAAACACGTGAAAATGGTCCCACAGCGATCTAATTCTTAAAATTTCTCTTTGCATCCCTACAGAACAGCTAAAAAAATCCTCACAGGTGATGGCTGCAGCTTCAGCTGATTTACTGACCATTCCGCCATACAAGAATGTCTTCTGGAATAACCAAACTAGCCTAGGCATAAATGCCTCAGAAATCCAAAACAATGCCAATTGTTCTATGGACGACAACTTGCTGTCACTTGCTTTGATAATTTTTTACTCTGTTATTTTTGTCATTGGATTGGTTGGAAATATTACAGCCCTGTTTGCTTTCCTGTGTGTACATCAGAAAAGGAATTCTATCCAAGTTTACTTGCTAAATGTAGCCATTGCGGACCTTCTGCTGATCTTCTGTCTTCCCTTCCGAATACTCTATCATGCTGCCAAAAACACCTGGATGTTTGGACTGATTTTATGCAAGATTGTAGGAACCCTATTTTATATGAACATGTATATTAGCATAGTACTGTTGGGACTAATTAGTCTAGATCGTTATGTAAAAATAAATAAGTCTGTGAAGCGTCCTAAAATGTTAACTACTACACGAAGTATACATATTTGTTGCATGGTGTGGGCAATTGCACTAACAGGATTTATAGTAGTAGTTGCACCATCTTTCTTTAAGAATAAGGACAGCAATTCCACTATGTGCTTTCATTACCGAAATAAACAGAATGCAATGACAGAAGCCATTTTAAATTATATTATTGTAATAATTTTTTGGATAGTTTTTTTCCTTTTGATACTTTCATATGTTAAAATTGCCAAGAACCTTCTGAAAATTTCTAAGAAAAGAGCAAATTTTCCCAACACAGGAAAATACACCCAGACAGCAAGGAATTCCTTCATTGTACTCATTATCTTCACCATCTGTTTTGTTCCTTACCACCTGTTCCGGTTTGTCTACATTACATCACAGTTACAAAATCCATCTTGTTATTGGAAGGAAATTATTCACAAATGCAACGAGGTGATGCTCATATTTTCATCTTTTAACAGCTGCTTAGACCCGGTTATGTATTTCCTAATGTCCAGAAGTGTTCGCAAGACTGTATTCCAACTTATTTGCAAAAGACTTCATGGAGATACAGGACTAACTCTGGAAAGCACTTCAGAAATAAAACTTGGGCAATATGCACAAGATCGATTATCTACTACCACTCCCCACTCAAGTTCTGTAAAGAAGAAGTCTCTGATTTGATTGTTTAAGTGAATGGATACTGGTTTCTCTCTGTCACTCCAGGACGTCAATTTAAGATGTACCAAAGGCAATACTGTACAGCTACTAATCCTGCCTCTTTCTTCCTGTTAAAAAATGAGAAGTCTTACTTCTGTTTGTGAAAATGAGAAGTTACTTTTCAGAAGTATTTCGCTCTTGTTTATCCAAGGAAACAGCAAGTTCTCAGACATCTTCTGTTGGACTAAATTAGAACACTAACTCTTTAAGGAGACTTCCATTAATTGGTTTGAACCTGCATAAGGAATCTTGTGTACAGACATTAACATTACCAACTTCTGTATGTAAATAATAGATGAATTTTGCAAAAAGCAAATTGTGTCCTATTTGAAAGAGCTATATTAAGCATTACACATTTTATGTACTTCTCTGTTTTAATAGGTTTCAAAGACTTTTTACCTGCATTTACAGAAGTAATTTTTCCACAAAAATATTTGAGAATTCAGCAACATACGTGGCTTAAAAATGAGGTAAAGAATACAACTGCCATTAATTCACTTATAATTACAGAAGATACACTTAGTTATATTAAATGGCAAAATTAAAATATTCAAGCCTCCTAAGCCCCTTATTATGTTTTCAACATTTTAATGAATGTCAAGTTTGAACACCTGAGGAAAAGCAAGCAATGATTTTCAAAAATTAGAAATGAAAGGAAAGATGGCATATAGGTATTACCTAAGGTTTTCTTCAAACTCTAACAAATTTGGTGACTGCAGCTACACAAAGTAGTTCAACAAGCAAAATAAACTCACAGAATTGAGCATAAAGAGCAGAACAGAAAATTTAGGTCTTGTGAACACTTGATGCATCAGCTCTGACCTTTGCTCAGACTCAGTCACTGGTCTACTTAGAGATTTCCGAAGCCACACATTTCAGCTGCATGCTTCCTCCCTGGCACAGTCCTTCTCTCTTCACATGATCAAAATAATCTTGATAATTGCTGATGCTATGTCCCATAGATACAACTATATTCTCAGACTAAAATCAAACAGGTTTATGTATTTAGGCACAAACAAAAATTTCAAACTGTAACGTTGTTTAAAAAAAAGGGAGCTGAAGGTGGAGGTTGTTAGACCCAAAAATGAGTAAAGAGGCAGTTATACCAAGAACAACTTAAATGTCTGGCATGACAGGCCAGAAAGGTAAATGAATTGGACACTAGATGTTACGCTCCATAAAACAAGGATTTATTATCCTGAACACAAGCAACATTGCTAAAGTAAATTGGTAGAAAGATGCTAGTTTGAATACAACTACCAGTAACTTCTCTGATGGATCATGTGACTTTTAATGCCAAATCTATGTCAAAACGTGTGGATTTTTACTAATTCTGTACAATATTTTGGCTTTCCAGAAGCTGCTCATAACTCTTACTGAACAAAATAAGCATAACATTTCACCTCTTCTAGATATAAACTTGTTTTAATTTTTATGTGATTTTACTTCATTCAGTTTTGGTAAAACGGGGTATAAACATGTTAAGCAAATTAGAATTACTAAGCAGTGTAATTTTTTTTGATTTTTAACAAGAAAGGGTGGGGTTTCTTAATCTTCAAAGGAGAGATTCCTACAAACATGTAATTTTCATAAAAGTACAATGGTAACTACATTTTTTCTTAATCATTTCAGCAAACAATTAAGATAGTTGTACAATAATTTCTGATCAATTTTCACAACACTGGCATTATATTTTTTCATGATCTTTTATCGATCATCTTGTCATCCTATTATATGTACGCTGAAGCGAGAACTGTCTTGGCTCTGTATTTGTACTGTGCAAGGAATAGCATGTTTCTTGTCCTCTGCAATTCTCCTATGGAGAATAGTAGCTCTACACATTTACGTCAACTCTGGTAAATCTAGTGGAGTTTATAAACCATCATTGCACAGGATACATACATTATCTCATCATTCTTTCTGACATGGTGAGGCTGGAACAAAATTTGAATTCTAAAATTCTTTTGAAGAAAGTGTTCTGTTTAAAGCAGAATTTTCATTTACAAGGATTCCAGTTCACGGACACTGCACAATTGCAAAACCAGACTCAGATCTCTCCAGAAGATCAAGTAATAGTACAGAGCTTCAATGCTACAAATGAAGTTGACTTTTAAAGCCAAAGCCAAATAGAAATGTGTTCCATGGTCCAAAACCCGGACCACCTTAGTATTCTGAGCATGCTTTTGTAAATTATGTAACATTTACTTTGTTACTATAATACTATTTTGTAAGCAACTAATTACATAAAAGGACAACAGGAAAATTGTCTTGCAGTACAAGTTCAGGATTCTGGTCCATCATGTCATTAGTATTCCATGGGCTTTCTTGGTTTTAATAATTTTAACAATGAAATCTAGTCAGTATTTTCTTCAAGAGGAAAGCCTTAAACACCCACATCTATTTGCATTGAATCAGATGTGCTCTACATGACAGTCATTCTTGACAGATCATAGAGAAGGACCACCGAGGAAGCCATGCATAATACCAGCAGACAAGGTTTCAGAAAAAAAAAAAACATTTTAGAGGAAATATTGAAGAGTAACACTTTCCCAGGACTACATGCTACACAACAAAGCGTTTCAAAAGCATTTCAGTACACGATAATCTATCACTTAAACCAGCCTCTGTACACAAGCAGCAAATATGACCCAAATCCTTTGAAGAGATTTCAGGAGCTACAGTCTAATGTTTGTATTAGGCAAATCCATAGCACCTATAAAGACAAAATTAGGCAAGCATGGGTGCATCAGGTATCCCAAGGAAAAGTGAATAGACTTGTTTGAGGGAAGCCATCTACCAGAAGATCAATAACAGAGGAACTCTGGAAGAGCTGAGAAGCACCAGGATAAAAGTGACATGCTGTACTTGGACTTCAGCAAGGTTACTTACTTTAGTAAGGCTCTAAGAAACCCTACCACATTAGATGTTAATTCTTGTTTTAGAACTGGTTAAAAATCAGAAAGAAAGCTTAAAAATACGTTATCTTTTTTCTTCAAGATGTTCCCCAAGAATCTGCAAATAGTATTCATGTGTTTAACACTACAATCTGGAATGAGTGAGAGTAAGGAGATGACAGTTTTCAAACAACACACAATTATTCAGGGTAGTCAAACTTAACAAAAGTTCAAGATATAACTCCCTCCTCAACAGTAAATAAAAGAGCACACGCACTGTTAAAATTAGGAGGAAAAAACCTGAGAAGTCATCATTGTACTATTGCATAATTTATATGATACAGATTCTATACAGACAACATTAAATAATCAAATCTTCAGCTCAGAAATGAAAATCTGAAAGGGAGCACAAGTCTGTAATGGCAGATATGGCACAGAAGAGGGCAACAGGTATGACTATATGATCTTTCTCAGTGTGACATTAAGGGAGTAGCAGTCAGGGCAAAAAAAACACCCCAAAAAGCAACCAGACAAGTGAAAATACTTACGGATTTCCACAACTATGTAAATCAGTGCTTCAAGATGTTAAAGGGCAGATGTATCAACTAGCTCAGAAAGGGACCTGAAACTAGACAGCACTGTCATGTAGGAAACAATTACCACTGACCAAAACCCAAAAGCAGGTATCTTTACTATTTTTTTTAAAATGTTTAATCCTTATATATTTTCTTCTGCAATCAATTTTCCCAAATTTGAGGGTAAAATGCCAGGCTCTGCAAAGCAGTATTACTGAAGAGCAAACAGTCCTGAAGCATCTTGGGACGTCTACTGAAAGTTACACTGTGACATGTCAAATGACCATGCCATTAGACACTTTAATAGTGTCTCTTATTTCTTGTCTTATCAGTGCTTCCTAAATACTAGCAGGGCCAACTACAGCAATTAGTTGAGCCTTCAGCTGAATTTCAACATGAAAATCCTTCTATTTATTTTTCTTTCTGTAGGTAGAGGATAACTCGACACGTGTCCACATAATCTGCATGAACCTCATTTTCCTTCCTTATTTAAATCTACAACACATCTCCAAATTTCATTTGGTGTACCAAAATGTCACCTCTTTTTTACTATGTAAAAAGGAGCGCATATTCTTTATTAAAATAAATACTAGTTACAAAATGCATAAAAGTATACATGCTGGCTAGTCACTTCTGTACCTCTTAGACTTGATAAATACATTAATAGCTACATTGTCATACATATATATATTAAAATGAATGGAAATCAAGCCATGAAACAAAACTGTTTGCCAGATACATGTTTATAACTTGAATCATAAACATATCAAAGTGTACCTGGTTTGAGTAAACAGCTGTACTGGTTTTGGCTGGGAAAAATTTCTTCACAGTAGCTTCTATGGGACTATGTTTTGGGTTTGTGCTGGAAGCAGTGTTGATAACACGGGAATGTTTTCACTATTGCTAAGCAGTTGCTTGCACAGGGTCAAGGCCTTTTTTGCTCTTCACCCCACCAGTGAGCGGGATGGCGGTGCATAAGAGGTTGGGAGGGGGCACAGCTGGGACAGCTGACCCCAACTGGCCACAGGGATACCCCACACCGTATGACATCATGCTCAGCAATAAAAGCCAGGAAGGAAGTTTGCCAGGGCTGCCATTTCTCAGGAACCGGCTACCGCATCAGTTGACTGGTGGTGAGGAATTGGGGGTTTTTGCATCACTTATTTTTCTTGGTTTTGTTGGTGGCCCCTCCTCCCTCCCTTTTTTTTTCTTTAAACTTCTTAAGCTCTCTTTATCTCAAACCATGAGTTTTCTCACTTTTACCCTACCAATTCTCCCCTGCCAGCCCACCAGAGGGGGAATAATTGAGCAGCTGCATGGGGCTTAGCTGCCTACTGGGATTAAACCACAACACCACTTTTTGGCACCCAGCGTGGGGGTCAAAGGGTTTGAGACAAGGACAGATATGACCAGAATGCGTTAGAAGGAATAGGAGGAAGCATCAGAAGCCACCACCTGTTCTGCAGCAGAGCAGCTACAAGAACAGGAAGGTTAAAGAGACAGAAATCATAAACAAGTTTTCACGCTTTTATCCTTCCAATTCTCTTCCCCGTCCTACCGAGGGGGGGTGACTGAGTGGCTGTGTGGGGCTAACCCACATCATCAGCTTTCATTTTCACAGTGAAATTAACTGTAATTATGGTTTTGACCTGCAAATGGGTATTTTTCATGAAGGCAAACAAGTATCAATTATTTTGATAATACAACGTGGAAAAATTTAATTGAACAACTTCCCTCAAAACATCAGTCAATGAAGCCATAAAAGAGGAGTGCAACTTACATCACTGATAAACAAGTGAGAGACATTATTCCTGGAACTGGAAAATTCACATATAGACACTTCAGTTTAATGCTTTCTCTGAAAGCACATACAGAATCAGGGTGGAGAGGAGCAAGTTGTGCTGCACAGTACAAATAAAGTGAAAAAGAAACCATTTATAATGTTCCACCAATCCAAAAAATATTTTCAATATATTCTCTGTAGCACTGGGAACCTTCTGCCAGCCTTTTTTCCATCCCTTACACAAAATCCCAACTCCTGAGGGCTCTGTGGAATCCAAGAGAATGGAGAAGGTGCTACAAAGCTGTCACCATTCACTGCTCGTAGAGTGAATAGGCAGGAAAAATCATTGCACAGAAGTTGTTCACAGACATCACAGGAGTGAGAATAACTGGGGAGAAGAGATGAAGCTGGAAAAAGCTTTAACATTCAAACTGCACGGTTAGGGTGGGAAGTGTAGAAATAGGAACATGAACGGCAGAGAAATGGCTGATTGTGCCTCATAGTACTGCAAAATGAGAAACAAAATGAGGAGGAAAAAAACCTAGGGTTTGCTTATAAGGCTACGTTTTAACAAGCTGAGAATCATTTAAAATATGCCCCAATAATATATTCTGGTACACGCTACTTTCAAAAGTTATCTTGCTTTTTTTCTGTAAATAGTGAATCCTAGTTCCTCTAGGTTTGCATACAGAGAGGGGTAGTACACTTTTCCACTTATTACAAAGCAAGGCCACCTTCACAGAACTCTCAAACCACAGATATAAATGACTGTGCTTTAAAAACAAATAATACTTGCTATTCCTCCCACAAAAATTCTGACTAGGTAAAGTTGGTGACATAAGCATGGTGATCAACAAATTAAAAGTCTGATGAAAAGACAGGATCATTTTTGTCAGGGGGTATAGAAATGTTCTTTATCAGCAAGGAATTAATTCTGCAGACAGAAATCCCCAGCTTGCAGCCAACAGAATCTATCTTTTAAGTATCAGTTTTGCTTTCACTGTCTTGTTTTAGGTTTTTATCTTTTCTTTATTACTTTTGTGTTTTCACAGAAGCTTAAGAAGAACCTGGAAAAGCCAAAAAGCTGTTATATGCAAACATATTTAACTTAAAACCCCACAAATTATAGTAGGGTGTAGAAAAACACAGAGAAAGCTTTCTGTTTGACTATGACGATCAACAATTTTCATGTTAAAAAATTCTTTCTGAGGTTAAAAGTAAAAATCATGTCTAATACAAAGCCACTGCTTTTTTAGAAGCAAATATGGTTAAAGAGACCTCTGGGAGTTGCACAAAAAATGTTGTTGGGGAAAAAATACGAAGTATTTAGCATTAAAGTAATGAAGTATAAAAATGTTGGAAGATTATTTTTGTTATACTATCAATTTCAAGCTAAGTTTTCCTCCCTAAAAGACATTGCTTGACTTGTGTTTTGTCTATGTAGAACAACTACCTGGAGCCTATGAAACACTTAATTTTGCATATTTTATGACAATCAAAGAATGAGTGCAATATATCCCTATTTCTGTATCCCTGAGGATGCCATAGAGTTATACTGCATACACTCATAATTCATCCAACATAAGAACTTTCATTCTGGGTCTATTTTGCTGAATCTCAAGGGCAGCTCTAAAACTGGTGAAAATAAATCATTAGTGAACAGCAAACACAGGCCCAGTCCAAACCTGCCAAATATTTTATCTTCACTGATTCAGCATAGCACTTGACTCAACCTGAGTAGATTTAAACGTGAGCTTAGATGATTTTGCTTTGATGAGCACTTGCAATATTAAATACATAATACTGACTATAGCTAAAATCCTCATTGTATCAAGTCAGGAGAAGAGCTGTGGGCACACTGGATCACCCTTGCACAGAAAGCTGACAAGCAGGCAGAGAGTTATGTAGACAAAAATTGAAAAATTTTAATGCTTAAGGAAAAAAATCCCCAACAAATCTAAGCACCAAAAGTCAAAGTTCTAGGCAAGCTACTTGGTAAATGAATTTTTTTTTTGAAAGAAAATATGTATTGCACTAGTATAGTAGCCGGTGCAGCTTACAGAATTATCTTGGTATCAAATGCCATACAGTATATCAAATTCCAAGTACATAATATTAAATCTCAAGTTAAAGGCTGCTGCACGTTTGGTGCATGCTATACATTTATTCAGTATGATTCATCCTCAGCACCCATAGTAGCCATACCCAGCGTCTCACACTTTTCTGTGCCCTATGCTCAGCAGTTGCCTTCCATCCTTCAAGATTCAGAGACTGTGTGCATCTCTTGGGCCTTCCACAGCACAGAGAGAAACAGGACCGCTACAGGAGCCAGAGCTGCTGCCTTCTTCCGTCCTACAAGGAGCAACTGCTGCCAACACATTATATATGCTGTTGTAGAGCAAGAACAGTCCAGTTCTCCCCTTGGTTTATGACATGTACAAGCAGATATGAGGTTGACTGGGCTATCTTCTATCATCTCAAGCAGGCCAAAGGGAGAGGAAGTGGCCAGGCAGCCTGCAGGTGGATCGCTCTGTCATACATTACATAACACGCTAGGTAGGGGTTACAAACGGCCAACTGAAGTATCTTTCACTGGTGGGAATTTCCGTGGGTTTGTGCTTTTGGGTGACAAAATAAGTTGGCTGCATACAATGGCAAAGTAGAATCATAGAATGTTTTTGGGTTGGAAGGCACCTTTAGAGGTCATCTAGTCCAACCCCCCTGAAGTGAGCAGGGACACGGCTAACCAGATCAGGTTGCTCAGAGCCCCGTCCAACCTGGTCTTGAACATTTCCAGGGATGGGGCCTCCACCACCTCTCTGGGCAACCCATTCCCATGTTGTAACATATGCTGCTTACTGGCATATAAACTCTAGTAGCATGTATAAATTAGACAGTGATCATGGTTTAAGAGTACAGAAAATATAAATAATTGAAGAATGCACATGAAGGTCATTATGAAGAACTTAAAAGTGAATCCCATAAAAGTTGCACTTGCATCACCTGAATACCATCAAATATATTTTAGACAAAACATGCCACTTGTAAGTTAGGTGAATGGAAATAGTCCACTAAAAGGATAATGAAGGTGCTTAGTACAGCTCTAGAACCAACTGCAATTGAATTTCTGGGGTTGGTTGGGGTTTTTGTAACTTATAATACCCCATTCTGTTGTTACTCATCTCACTAATCAGTTCCAAAATGAAGTCTGATAGATTGTAATTCACTGTAATAACCTATTATCATATAACAGTTCAGAAAAAATGTAGCATTATCTCTTCCTACAGCAAGAGTTCTGGTCACCAAATTATAAATCCTACAGGCTACAGTTAATAACCAACCAAATAATAATAATTAACCCCCCCCTGCTACATGCAATTGCTCACACCATTGTTTGGCAAGTGTCCTCGTTGCAAATTTTCAGGATATGCATTCTTGTGTCTAAAACCTGGATGGAACACCACAGTAACAAGGACTTCTAAGTCTACTTAAGAGACTATTAAGAGTTTAATTAATACAAGACTCTGTTAGAACAAATTTTAATATAACTACACATTCAAAAGTGGTAAAAATAAAAACAAGCTATAACTAAATCTAAGAGGAACAAGAATTAAAGTACATGCAAACTAATTATAGCATTACAAACTAATACTCCGCAGCAAGTTTCCCTCACTTAAATTTAATCTTAAATGAGATCAATTACGTAGTCTAAATAGGAGGCCAGCATACATGTCCATCTTTTTAGTTAAACAATTATAAAATTATTGAGACTGAACAATAAAATTGATAGTAGATCACTCAGGTGGATTCTCACACTGTAAACACAAAGCCGAACCAACAAAATAAGAACCTTAACATATAAAAACTTCTGCAATTGTGGTATCTCCTCTGTTCTCAGAAAGGAACTTATTTATAGCTGTTGAAAAGCTGTATCTGACGATCACAAATGTATCAGACAGAAGGAAATTCAAAGATCTCAAGCTCTGCGAAGGTAAACAGACTTTGACAGCTTTGTGATCAAATCTTTTCTGTGGAGGAAGGAAACTGTCCTCTGCACACTTCCGGATGATTTGTATAAAAGAATGTATTTCTTGGACACAGTCGTTTTTCCCAACTGATGCCTAGGAACGCATCAGCTGTAAATTGATTCCACACCACCCATCATCTGACTAGACATAGAGATGTGTTTATTTGGTTACTCATATGAGGACAGATATGGATACAGTGTAATTGCATGTGGGCTCTAGGAATAGACAGCCAGCTTTGCGATAGCTCTTGGAGCTGAAGAACGGTTAAATGTAATTGAAAATACAAGTTTTCATGCATAAAATAGAAACTTTTTTTTCCCCATTCTGAAAAGTGGGCAGTCCTAGAGAGAATGTCAGTAAGAATCCCTCCACCCCCCAAACCAGGAAAGCACTATATAAAGGATTGTAAGGTGTTTCTGTGCCATACCTCCATGACCAAAGGACTCTTCCACACTATCTCATTCTTTTTATTTCTCTAATGCAGCTGCATCCTGACCTAATTTCAAAGTCTTTTTTGCAGACAGCATCATCTTGTCTGAACTTTAAATGCCTAGCCGCTTTTTGACACCATAAAAGAAAAGTGTACATTCTGAAAACCTACTTATGTCAGAGAGATACTGTACTTAACTGTACTTTCCAGATTTAAATATCATCCTTTTCACTGCAGCAGTGGAGATAAAAAGGACATCAGACAGAAAAATTCCCTCTCTGCAAAGGAAGGTGACTGCAGCTTGCATAGGTAAGCTTAAAACTACTACTTTGTTGTCTCACCTGACAGAACTTAGAGATTGACACAAAAGTGTCATCATTAGACTTCTAAACGACTGGCCTCAACAATTACTTTGTGAATGTAACTCCTTGTAATAAAAGAATTTAACACATTTTGGTTCAACAATCCATACGGGACTCAGTGTGCACTAAAATGTAACAGCTATAAAAGTTAGTTCAATTTGCAAGTTGTCAAACATGGCCTACAGCATAATTCTTAAAAATTACTCTTACAACTTTTTGCTATCTAACCAACTTGGTGCCTGGGCTTTTTACCACAGCTACACAGAATCTCTTTGTTATCTGAGTTCATCTGCTTACAGCTGTTTCAAAAAAACCCCTACTATCAGCCTGTACGTTTGAAATCTGTTAATGTTTTCTATATGCTTTTATACAGAACAAAAGGTAACTAGGATACACTTCACTAAAATAGTACCCATACAAGAAAATCTTTCTTCACTACAGGTTAGTAAGCTACAATGTCAGTTTTTATATGCAGTCATCGTATAGTGCTTTGATTTCTTATTTGCAGTCTGGAAATTGAGAAAAGACTGAAAACTGAACTTGGAAAAAATAAATATATTGCAGTTTTCAACAACCATTTTGTATGCTTAAAAATATAGACTGAATTGTTCATTGAAAATGTACATCTAAGATTAGAGCTCTGAACAAAGTAACATTAGCTACAGACATCAGCGCAAAATAAATGCATCTAGCCAGATTCCTGCACCATGCACAGTTTAATTTGCACTTAAATGGAGGTACAGGATACTCCTCTGCATTTCTGCAATTCGGATAATACTTTGCGCTTATTTTGCTTATTTATCTTAAAATAGTCTAGAAGTGGTTTCCGAAGTAGGTTACAGATGTTCCAGAAGATTGAGAAGTAAACCAAGACCACACAAGTTATCAGCAGACCCTAGAGTGAACCTTCCATTTCCTCATTTATTTTATTAGATTCCATGCATGTAAAATCTTTGGGGTTTAACATCAGCCAACCTTTCTTCACCAAATCTCAGTGGAAGAGAACACCCAACAGTGACCTCATAGAAACTCAAGATGACAACCCCAGAGGATAAACAGCAGTTAGTAACAGTGAAAAGTAGGGGAGAAAAAGGAACAGTTAAAATAAGAGCAAAAAAATAAGAGATGTTAGATGCACATTACAGAAGAATAATTCTTTTAAATTGTGTTTCAGCTCTGACCATTCATTCAAGAAATACCGGCATAAATGAGAAATTCAACATGTCTTCTTCAGCCATCGTTAGCTACTACTGTAGCTCTACCGGTCATCTACTCTTTCCTATTTCCTGCTGGAAGTTTTGGAAATATACTCGCTGCTTGGATATTTTCAAGGCAAGCGCCGACAAAAAGAACACAACACATTTACCTGGTAAACCTCGTCACTGCAAATTTACTCATATGTTGCACCATGCCTTTTCTGGCTGCGTATTTTGCAAGAGGGTACCAATGGCCATATGAGTCTGTACTATGTAGAATGGTAAATCACCTTGGGACTCTCATTATGCACATCAGTATGTATGTTACTATTATAATTTTATGTTCAACTGCTCTAAGTCAGTATGCAACACTGAAGAAAAACAGTGACACACAATACTCCCAAGCATTTAATGAAACCTTTAACAGATGTGTACTGCAAAAGTTTCGTCAGCCAAAATTTGCTAAATATTTCTGCATCATTATATGGATTATGGTGCTCTGCATAACGGTAATAGCTATAACATATAATGTCCAGTCAATGGCTACGGAAGAATTTCGCAGATGCTACAATCTCAGGGTAGAGGCTGATGAATTTTCCACAAAGATGGCAGCTTCTCTTGCCACTGCATGTTTTTTTCTATCTTTCATGATGGTTTTATGGTCATACTGTTCTCTTACCAGACATCTGAGTAAAATACAAAAAAATACCTGTATTGGAGAAAAACATCTAATTTACAGAACAGTGAAAAGAAACATTCTTGTCATCCAGATGATATTAATCATCTGCTTTCTTCCATATCATATTTTCAGGCCAATTTTTTACGTACTGCTTACAAATAGCGACTGCCCAATGTTAAACTATCTAGTGGAAATAAAAAATTTCCTTACTTGTGTTGCTGTTGCTAAGAGTAGTTTAGATCCAGTTATAATCCTTCTGCCAGATAAAACATTTAAGAAAAGTCTATATGGCCTCTTTACAAAATCCACAGCAGAACACCACAAACGTGAAGCTGGTATTTTCAGTGAAAGGACTCTCAAAATGTAAAGGACTATGAGAAAAATTTAGTAGAATATAAGGAACAATAAACTGATTTTAACTACCTATAACCAGACTGTGATATGAAACGGTAAATATTTAAACAAGATTATATTACTTGTATTTTTTCTTGCTTGCTACATCAACATTAACCATAATAAATCCGATGTGTATATCCAAATGAATCCAAGCGATTGATACATTGAACTGTGTAAATACCCCTCTACCCATGCAATGCAAAAGGCATTTTATGTTTGACCTATAGGCAGTGTTTCCTACCTAAATAATCAAGGAAGAAGGCAGAAACTAGGCTAAAGCTGAGGACTCAGTTCTTTTTTATCATCAATGAGTCCCTGGCTTTGGACATGGGTTTCCTTTATAAAAAAGGCTGAACAAAGCACAGACGTTTTCTCTGGAACAGC